GGACTTGGACAAGGAATTTGCCTGTCCGAGTGCCTGGCATTGTTTGGCACGCACGTGTGCATCCCCCCCGCACCCCCCCCACCCCACTGCCCTCCGGATTCCGCTCAGGCGCCAATGCTCTGGCATGTGCCCACTAATGAGGGTGCCTGCTTCCAATCGCGCCTTACAAATGGAGAGAAACAAAGCGAGCCTGATAGTCGCTTATCCGTTTATCTAGTTATCATTTACTAATCTGTCTACCTATCTATCATCCATCTCCCAATTTACCCAGCCATCCATCCTTCTATCTGCCCATTTACCAATCTACCCATATTCCCCCAAAACATCCATCTATCATTTACCATCCATTTTCCGTCAATTGATCATCCATTTATGATCTGCCAAGCTACCATTTATATTGTCGTTCATCAATCCATCCATCCATTAATGTATCTATCCATCCATCCACCCATCCATCCATCTACCATCCATCCATTAATGTATCTATCCATCATCCATCCATCCATCCGTCTATTCATTTAGCCATCTAACCTCCATCTATAAATCTGTCATCCATCAATCTATCCATTTACCAATCTATCCATCCACCCAACCATCCCCCATCCATCCATTAATGTATCTATCCATCCATCCACACATCACCCATCCATCCACCTTTTCATCCATCCACCGCTCTCTCTATGCATCAACCTGCCCATCAGCCATCCACACGGCTATCCATCCATCCATTCATTCGTCTGTCTGTCCATGTCATGTACCAATCTGCCATCCATCCATCCTACCTGCCCATACATCCATCCATCTGCTGATCTACCGACTGAAGGAGGATTTTATCAGTAGATGGCTACATACTGATCAACCCTTCCCTCTATCGATCTCTCTATCAATCTGCCATCCGTCTCCTCACAAACCCATCCATCTTTCTCACCATCCATCATTCATCTCTCCATCAATTTATCTAGGAAATCCATCCATTAATACATTAATCTACCACCATCCGCCCACTTATCTATCCATCACCCCATCTATCCATGCTTTCTTTGGCCCTTAAAATGTTCACACTTGGGGAAGTTCGTTATGTGACACACATCTTAAATCGTCGTCCATATATTTTATCCGGTTTTGTGCTCCTCAAGCCAACACTTGAGCGGTGCTAATGCTCTTCTTATCACACGCTTGTCATTGAGGTCCATTAGGAAGCCTGGCGGTGAAGTAGAAAACCACAGCGAGGGGGCCACAGTGTCGTCAGGCCGATGTGCGTGTGATCCGCTTGTTCCCGAAGGGTACACGCTGTTCAACGTACACACCGTACGCACAAATTGGCATCGACAAAGGAAAGACGCGTGCGTCAGACAACTTGAACCCATTCCTTCAAAACCGCTACTTGGAGCATACTTGGTATGAAAAAAATAATAATAATAAGTAGCTTAAAAGCCGCAGTCTCATTTTCCTGCCATTTATTTTGCTGTTTTTATGCACATGAGCAAGGCACATTCAGGCGGGGTGCCGGAATATATTCCTGATCGGAAACTAATCGTCAATACATTCACGATTGGGATAGATGCGCGCTGGTACAAACAAACAAACTGGACCAGTGTTCTCAGGCAATAAAAAAAATGTATAAATGTGGGTATTTTGGCACACGTGTGTCGAAATTCTGAAATTTCCACGAAATCAGTTCGGGAGAAAAGTCAAAGTAAACAAACATGGAACTACAAAAGTGTTTTGAGGCGGCTGGAATGTCACAATGGCATTTCAACTCATTTCAATGGAGGGGATTGATTTGATTCACGTCCAAAATTAAGTTACGAGCACCAATCGTTACGAAGGAGGAAGTCGATAACCGTGTAGAGGGAGCTGCGTGTTCTGTCAGTACTTAGAAAGCAACATGCCGCATTAATGTCCTCTCCACAGGGACCGGGGGAAAAAAAGTGGGTCAACAAGCTCTTTTTCTATACAAGTCGTCGTCGTTTTTGGGTCAGGCTGATGAGAAAAGAAAAAAAAAAAGGCATGATGCATTGCCAACCTTGTGCTGTTTGTTTATGTGAGTGTGTCATCGTTAAAAGTAAATACAGTTCGCTCTTCAGCCGGAAAAGCAAACTGCAGATGGAGTTAGTACTTCCATTATATATTATTTACGTATATTAGAGAGTGGGAGTAAAAATAAATAAATAAATGAGATAGTGGTTGCAGAATTGTGCACACCCTCTTTCTTAGAACTGGAGATGTGTCTGTGTCACATTCAACTTCATGTTAAAAAGGAGTGAGCGCGCACCCGCCGCCATTTTAAGTGCCTCTAATGGTGGAGGGAGCCACAATTTTTTGTCAGTGCTACTGGGGGAGTGGGGGGGGGGCACATTTGACAACAAAACTTCATAACCAGATGCCACTTATGAACAAAGTATGTGCTCTTAATATATTGCATTGCTCATGGGTCATTTCTCATTAGAATGCATGTACGGCATAAAAGATTCACTTTCCTGATCCAACCACAAAGGCTTTGAAGCAAAAAACAAAATTAATTAAAATGATGTCTTGATTTACACCCATCAAGGACGGCACAAAACTGCTGAACAGCAAACCAACATTAAGCGCAAGAACTCGTTTTGTGCATTTTATTTATTTATTTATTTTTTTGCAAAAATCTACTCATTAAAAATCTAATATTAAGTTGAGGTTTAATGTTTATACTATACCGAATGTACTGCTAAATGCCGTCTCTTCTTCCATTGAGTGTTTTTGTGATGATGATGCCTGAATGTCCATCTGCCGTGTCCCCATCATGCCCTGCTGATCTGTTTAATGAAGCCTCAGCCATGTCCACTTCAGTCCAGGAGACAAATGGGAACACCGTGTACCAAAGCCAAGAGGCATGCCAGGGCGAGTGTGTGCGTGTGTGACTGTGTGTGCGTGCGTGTGTGTGCGTATGTTTGAGTGTGAATAATAATAACTCACCATCTATCCTCTGTTGCTTTGTGCAACTGAGAAATAAATGACTGTTCATACTGTCGAGTTCATGGATTGGTTGTGTGCCTTTGAGGGGTGTGGCCTAGAAAAAAATGGGGAAAAAAACTAAATATGAAGAAAACTGGAAAAAAAAAAGCAACAAATCTGCGAATATGCAAAGCCACGGGTGCCGAACTCTGAATATGGAGGTGTTGACTATAGTTTGAAGTTGTAATATCACCAATCGCCATTAGATGGCAAACATGTCTTAGTTAGGTTTTATACTGACCCTACACGACAATGTGAGTACGCCTAATATTTTTTTACGGATTTGGAATAATACGCAAGACAAACATAGGACCGCAAATTTTGAGCGAATTGATTTTTGTGGCGAAAATATACAACAAACTTTATTGCGCTTAATGTCAGTTTCTTTTTCAACAGTTTTGTGCCGTCCTTGGATTTTAATTGTTATGCAAGAGAGCCCTTCGCACTGGAAAATAGCACGACAGGATATGATTATTTTGTTGTGTGAATTTTGAGAAGACATGTTGATCAAAACAGGACGCACAAAAAAAGTCTCAGGGACCCACCCCCAAGATTGAATTTGAAGATGACCATTTGAGTTTGACGCAGCTTCACATTTTTTACTTTTGCTTTTACCGGAAACACGCTCATGTCTATCAAACCACCATGCATGAAAAAAATCTTGCGTGTGTAGTGAAAGTGCAAACATCCTGCCTTGGATCCCACGCTTCACATACCTGGCGTGAACTTGTTGTGGAAACAAAATTCCAAGGTGGCCACAGCAGAACATCAGTTACATGGCCCGAAGAGGAAGATAACTCTGATTTTGTTTTTGTTTCATGAATGCCACTGAGAGTCTTCATCACCCTCCAAACAGCCACATGTAAGCACACCAAGAGCAATGACGAAGTCAATAAAAAATATATATATATTTAAAAAAAAGGCGGCGTGACTCAGACAAATGAATATAATCCATCCACACAGGGACAGAAATATCAAAACAAGTCTGTGGAACATTATCTATTGAAAGGCCACCAGCTGCAATTGTTTCCTCGTCAATTACAGGCTGACATCATGTAAGCAAACGAAGCTTCATACCGAAACACGACGCCCTCCCCATCCTCCGTTGCCCTTTTTCCCTTTTGAAGTGCCTTTCATCTCAATTATTTGTAGTTTTCCTTTCTTTTTTTTCTGGCTCCACATTTAAATGCTAAGGAGATAATTGCGGAGGGATTGTTGTGAAAGCACAAACAGAGCGGAATGGTGCAGCCTGAAGGTGGGAGAACCCCTACAGAGAGAATACTGGACCATTTTAAAAGCACCCCCCCCCCACCCACCCCCTCAAGGCTACATCATGCTTTCAGGCATGCTGGATAATGCAATGGGGTGCTGACATGATTTTAAGAGTTTAGTAAATAGAGTAAATTACAAACTATTGAAGAGTTCAAAGGGAAAAGTAGACATCGCCATTTTTAATGAATTTAGTAAAATTGTATTCTATTTTTTTAATTTAATGAGTATTTGTCTTCCTAGATTAAAGTTAACGTTTTTATTGAGGATATTCCAAGTTCATATAGATTCAGCACCTAAGAAGCTAAATTTGAACAAATTTGCAATTCCTCACAACTCTTAACCCTTGTATGTTTAAAATGTGAGTTAAATGTAAACAAAACAAAGATATCCAAAGATTATGAACACAAAGTCATTGTGTCTTTTGGTTTTGTTTATTTATTAACGTTTTTATTTCATTCAATGTTTCGTCTCCATTGAGAAATAAGAGATGCTCATGATTGGTTGCAGCCGACGCCAAGTTTTCCTATTCCACTTTCGTGATTAGCTGAAGTTGCCTGTCAATCAAATTTCTCGGCCTAAATCATTCCATTTGGCGCCTTGCTCAATTAACTGTAGATGCCAATGATTGGTTGTGCAGTGAAACTAAAGTTCACTATCCCACTCTCTGATTGGGTGCATGTCACTGTCAATCAAACACTTAGCCCTGAACCAATCATTAGGTTTGGCGGTAGGTGGGCAGGGCTATGTGACGTCACCACGGAAGCATTTTCCTGTTTGTTTGCTAACATGATAAACCTCGCCCTCGTAACTTGCCTCCATTATGTTGTATTTTCATCTCTTTTGGGGATGAAGCCGCTTCGTCTTTGAGTTCCTCTGCAATCTCTCGCGGGTCGTCGCTGCCCGTATGGTGCCGCGGGTCTGCGTTACGACGCCGCCACTGGGCTTCTTGCAGTGTGTGTGGCCTTGCAATTCAACTTGTTTACTCCGTCGGTCATGTTTATTTCCTGAAGATGGCGGCCACGGGGACACGGTAAACTAAATGACTGTCAGAAACATCGCCTCCATTTGTAACATGGTGAGTACTAAGTGCTCCGGTTGTCTGTGGCGCAAGCTGGAGTACCCTCTCCATGTTAACCTGAGCGAGGGTTTGTGGTGTGCGGTGACCGAAAGTAGGCACGTAAAGCCGAATACGTGGCTGGCTGGGGTCCGTTGAGTATGACCGATAGCTGTTGCTCTGTCGTTTATCGTGTGCGTGCGAGAGAGCGTTAGCGCCTTTTGGTTGTGTGAAGTTTACACCAGAGGGCAAGAGAAAGGCACTACCGGACTGAATAGTCATCCATGCTTGTGTTGCGTTCAGGCACTCACGCTTCTCCCGGATCGCTTAAACCCACTATGCCGTCACTATGACGCAGTGACGTAGGTATACTGTGGACCGTACCAATTTTAGTTAGTTTCTTAAGTTTGCGGTGGAGGAATTTCCCTTTTGTACCGCGAAACGCTAAAAACTTATGTATCTAGTGTAGAAAATAATGTATATAGTGACGACGTGAGGTTCCAAAAACAGTGAAATGTCAAATTTAGGCCATTTTCTACTTCCTGGTTCACACAATGGACTGTACCAATATTGGTATTTTGAAAGGGAAGGAATAACTCAAAACATCCACCAAAAAGAAAGTCAAGTTTTACTAAATTGAAAAAAATGTGAATCTTGTGTTTGCTGTTGTTCTTCTTTATTGTCTAGGCCACTTCTTGGTTTACCTAGGTTAACGCAAGACCACTGGATTTAACCACTTTTTGGTTTGAAGATAATTGGACTCAACCCTTCATTTTGTTTTTGGAGAGAACAATTTAATTGTAACTAAAGTTTGAGAAAAAAAAGAGTGAAACTCCATATTTGTTCGACGATTTGTCACTTAGCAGGCGATGTCCTGGTTGGATTGGACCCTCTCCTTTTTATTTGACTTTTTTTGCTTGAATCTTAAACACTCTTAAATCTGTCCATGATTTGTCTGTCAGGCTCCTTCCTGACTGGATGTTCAAAAGCTCTTGCTGCTGGTAGAAAAGCAAACAATGAATCGAAAGACAGCGATTGATGTAAATGTGCGCTAATGCTATTCCTTTCCCCCGGATCGCTGGCACAAAGCTCCATTCAACATCTTTTGCTTTGACGCTCGGAACCGAGCGCCACGGGCCGTCAAAGGCGCCCGCCGGCTAAATTGTCGACGGTGTCGTCTCAACAAAGCCTCGCTTTGAGCTCGCGGAGGGAAAAATCCGACTCGGAGCAGAGATAATGCTCTGGCCTGGCAATCATGTGTAAAACACACCTGGACAATTTAGACCGGATCCGTTTTCGTTTATCCAACGAACGGCAGTCTGTGGGAAAGACCGTCATGGAGATCTCTGCCTAGGTCAAATCTTCCTTATTTTTGGTTGTTGTCTCTCTGCTTGCAGGGCACCAATGCCTCCGCACTGGAGAAAGACATCGGCCCCGAGCAGTTCCCCATCAATGAACATTACTTTGGTCTGGTCAATGTAAGCATCGACACAAATGCAGTCGTTCCTTCAGATACGAGTTGAGGTTGTTCCGTGCCCACATCGGTAGCTCAAAACAATCGAGTCTAGTTTGACTGTTTTTGTGCTCTCTACTATCTACATCATTAAACATGCCCAGGTCAATTTGACCCAATTTCTGCTCCTGAACGGAAAGGGAGTGTTCAATTTGGCTTCTTTAAACCATTCAAGTATGATCTTTGAGCCGGAATGCACTAAACATGTTTTGAAATGCTTAGTAATGGAGTTGCTAATGAGATATAAACACATGTGGATGGACAAACGTGCCCCGGGTCAGATTGACCCCGGGGCAGCCATTATTACTGCTCCTGAACAGAACGACCGTAAGAGGAAGGTTAAACGCATCTCACGGGTTGTCGTCATTCGACTTTGATTCCTTCCCGGCAGTTTGGCAACACGTGCTACTGCAACTCGGTGCTGCAGGCGCTCTACTTCTGCCGGCCGTTCCGCGAAAACGTGCTGGCCTACAAGGCCCAGCAGAAAAAGAAGGAAAACCTGCTCACGTGCCTGGCCGACCTCTTCCACTCCATCGCCACGCAGAAGAAGAAGGTGGGCGTCATCCCGCCCAAGAAGTTCATCTCGCGCCTGCGCAAGGAGAACGGTGAGAAGACGTTAACGTTGACGCTTTAAATGTGATTGACATTTAAGAAGTGTCAAAATGGGTGCAGACTTTGCAATTTTTCTTGCAGACCTTTTCGACAACTACATGCAGCAGGACGCCCACGAGTTCCTCAACTACCTGCTCAACACGGTGGCCGACATCCTGCAGGAGGAGAAGAAGCAGGAGAAGCAGAACGGCCGGCTGAAGAACAACGGGCCCCCCGCCGACGCCGAGATGGCGACGACGACGGCGACGGCGGCGGCCGAGAACAAGACGGAGCCCACCTGGGTGCACGACATCTTCCAAGGCACGCTGACCAACGAGACGCGCTGCCTCAACTGTGAGACGGTAGGTGGCCATCTGGGGGAAATGGCTTCGCTCAAGTGGAGATCTTTTTCATTTCGTTGGCATTCGGCAGGCGGGAATTGAATTTGTTGAACGCAAGGAAATGGGGAAAAAAAATGTTGGTCGAGTAAATGTTTGTTTTCTCCATTGTGTTCATCGTCGGTCGTAAAATGTAAGAAGCAGACCGAATAACGTTTATTTTTGAAATTAAGTTCAGTCATGGGTGGGACGAGTGGAAAATCAAATCAAAATAAGCAATTTATGTATTCATTGAAGTTGTATTTATTTGGTTGTTATTATTATTAATTTTCATTCTGAAAATTTATTTTATTTTTAAAATGCTTAAGCTCAGATGGGACAAGCCAAATGTTGCAATAACTTTAGTGACATGTATTGATCATTTTTCAAATTTATTAAATATATGAAATGATTGATTGAAAGTTACAAATAAAATAACAAATTTACACAAAACATTTGACATGTTTTAATTTGAAAAAAATATTTTTATTATAATTTATTTGATATTTTTGATATTTTATTTCAAAAAATTCATTTGTATTCATTTTATGAATTATTTTATCAAATAAAATTCATTCATAATATACATTTAAAAATCTGAATTATCTGATTATTATACTTATACTATTATACTTGTATTTTTTTTAAACCTCATCTGTCCATTTCCAAAATCCAATCGAGTGGCACTTGAATGCCAAAGTTTGCCCGCCACCGTCTTAGGCTTCCCTCAACGTCTTTGCCAGGTGAGCAGCAAAGATGAGGACTTCCTCGACCTTTCAGTGGACGTGGAGCAGAACACGTCGATAACGCACTGCCTCAGGTAGATTTAATTTTGAAACGGCATCATGTGATAAAAACAGGTCAGATTGAATAACCGCCCCCCCATGTTCGCTCCGCAGGGATTTCAGCAACACGGAGACGCTGTGCAGCGAGTACAAGTACTACTGCGAGATGTGCTGCAGCAAGCAGGAGGCCCAGAAACGGTCTGTGAACGCAGCTCGGTCACTCACGGGCTCCTCCAAATAATCTACCATCAATTCCGGCAGTACTTTTGTCGGGGCTGAATTGATTAGTCACAGAAATTGACTCATTTTGGCCACCCACCTGCGTCTTTTGCGGTAGGATGTGCGTGAAGAAGTTGCCCATGATCCTGGCGCTGCACCTGAAGAGGTTCAAGTACATGGAGCAGCTGCACCGTTACACCAAGCTGTCGTACCGCGTGGTCTTCCCCCTGGAGCTGCGCCTCTTCAACACGTCCGGCGACGCCGTCAACCTGGATCGCATGTACGACCTGGTGGCTGTGGTGGTCCACTGCGGCAGGTGAAGCACGCGGCGGACGATCGGCCGACCTCGTGCGCATGTCGGATCAAAACGTGACCGCGTCGACACCGAAACTTGTCAAATATCAGCCAAGAGCATTCATATTAACCCTTTCACGCACTTCATGGAACCTGATCACATGATTAGCTGTCCACTGTCGTAACCGCAGTCCCTGAAAGGGTTAAAATCACATTTCTTGTCCTCTTGGTTATTTTCGTGGCCATGAAGTGATGACTTCAGAATTAAGTCATGTTTGACGGAGTTGCATAAAGAGCTCCACTGAAACTTAATCTCGCCCACCAAGCGTGAATTTCGGAACTTTGTCAACGTACCGTCAGCCACGCACGCACGCACGTGTCCGTTGCCGTCAGCCCCGGGTGGACTGCCTGACATCGCTGTGTAATGGAATGCTCGCGTGTGTTCCTTTAGTGGCCCAAACAGAGGGCATTACATCACCATCGTGAAGAGTCATGGTTTCTGGCTGCTGTTTGACGATGACATCGTGGAGGTGCGTCACCCTCTTTCTCTCCCTTTGTTCTTTTTTTTTGTTTTGTTTACACGAGCCATGTTTGTCTCATCGGTCAAAAAAAAAAAAACCTCCCCGCAGAAAATCGACGCTCACGCCATCGAGGAGTTTTACGGACTTACCTCAGACATCTCCAAGAACTCCGAGTCGGGATACATCCTCTTCTACCAGTCCAGGGAGTGACCCCCTCCCCCACCACCACCCCTCCTCCCGCCTCCTCGTCGTCTTCCTCCTCCACGTGTGACAACACAGCCCCTCTTGAACTTTTTAACTGACTTCGCCTGCATCTGAGCGCACTTTATGCAAAGCAAAATACTCTACAGAGGATGGTGTATAAATTGACCCATTCTCCT